ACCAAGCTAGATCTACAGTACCACAGTATCTTATCCATCCCCTCTCCTCAGTAGTTTAATTCCTTTTACTGAACATTACATTACATATTTGTGTGATGCCATTAGCCAACACTGAGGGTCACTGTGTGAAAATATCCTAATAGAAAGAAGTATTAGTGAATCTCCTTTAAGGATGTTATCAATATCAATAGCACCGTTTGCCACAAATCATGCATTATTTTGCTTGTTACCAGTAATGGTATTTTCCTTGAGCAGATAGTTTGTTTGTATTGTATGAATACTGTGAATAATATAATTGAAAAGGGTTTCCTTTTCTTTCTGGCAACTAGAAAGCCTAGAGCCAAATTGAGGGTCCAACCTTATAAAAAGCGAATTGTGTTATCTTTGGTTGCAGCATCATTTCTGGTTCCACTCTTTTCTTCTCTTTATCTTGCCAGGTTCAGTTCCCCTATCCAGTCACATAATGTGTCTCTCCAAGTTACTTCTAGATAGTACATGAATAAATGAATTATAAGATTTTAAAAACACATAGGTAGTGGAAACAGCAGATACTCCAAATGGCAGTTTGTTATTTTCTCTTCTTCTTCCTGATAAAGACCCTATTTATTAAATCTGAGTAGATTTCAGAGGAGTAAATTCAGAGAAATCAGATTCCATGTAAAACAATATGCTAACAACTGGATTACAAGAAGCAAATACCAAGTAGACGGGGCCTGATGAGCAGAGAACTGGCTGGCTTCAATACGTAAGCTGACTCAGAGTTCCACTCACATGTCTACAAGTTCTGGGTTTGGGATCAAGGAGGTTGGGTTTAGGGTACAGGTGCAGACTATCACCTTGGGTATCTATTTTTGGGAAATCTACGGTCTTATTGCAACAGCCAAACCATTTTGTGGAAAAAGACTAAGAGAGAGGAGAGGAAATAAGAGATTATTTTCATATCTTTATGCTCCTTCCTCCAAGATAGTTTAAAGTTAGCTGGAAAGTAGTTAAGAAATATTCCTATTTTTAAAGACATCCAAGATTGAGTAATTTCAGCTACAATCTATTGTGAAAGTCTAGACTTTCCTATGATCTTACAGGAAAGATTATAACTTTCCTATAATCTTTTATAATCCTACCTGTAATCTTGCAACTTGTCTTTTTCTTCTTGCTCAGTTCTCAGCACTAAGGAACAGTAAGTAACAAGAAAACAAAGTATAAAACGCTTTATATAATCCTCCTTGTTCACACTTTTGGGAAGATAACATGCAGTATTACCTAAGCCGTTGTCCACTGACTGAGTAGGTAGGTGTGAGAATGAAGCAGCACTTGGTAGCAATATTCAAACTACACAGAAATCCTTAAATCACATTTACAAACCTAAACTGTGAATGGGTCACAGTGCTCACAAAATTACATACAAACCCTTCTGCAGTCAAAGCCTACTTTTACTCCAAGAACACACTATGCCATTTCAAATGGCACTACCTTTTTAACATAAAAACTATGAATAAAAAAAAATGCTAATTTTATTTATTTTTTCTTTGAATTTCCTCTTGTCTTTCAAGATGCTTACACAGCACCTTAAGTCCTATTTATTTGTTTCCTACCAAACTTTTCCTCTTTCACCCTTGATCCCACAAATCATACACCTTGCAGGATAATCGGCAGGCCCTAGTACTTTCTTTTTGCCTTGTAGCTACTCTTCCTCTTACAAGTCAGTGTGCCACCTAAATCCTGCCTGGAAGCAGGTTTTCAGTGTTCAAAACAATTTTTAAATGATATCATACTTACTCCTGACCTCTCATTGTAGAACAGTCAGAATGTGCCTTCATAGGTAACTTCTACCTACTGGCCCTAGAGTTTCTTTCAGTATCTCTATGGAATTATGCATAATCCTTCTTTAACAAATCAGCCTAAAAAATATTTGAAGCTGCAAACAGTATCAATACTAGGATTGGAATATCTAGAAACTCAGAATGTGTTGCTTCTGTGACTTTACTACGAAATCCAATAAAACTAATATTACAGGCTTTTAGCTTACCAAGATCTAACATACCCAATCTCTGTTTTTATCCTAATCCTGGCAGCATTTAGGCACTAAGAAATGACAAGCACGAAACATAGCAGTAGGGCATCATCATCATTTTTCCTCTTCTGGAACACAAGGAAAATACTTAACCAGCACACTGGTATAAACTAGAATGGATCTGGGGTTTGTTGTGACTCTTGGTGAAAAAAAATTCTTACATCTGCTTTATGTAATCATGATTTTAAAAAGTGTTGGAATATATTAAATAACAAATTTGTATCAGTGATTGTTAGCAAAATTTTAATGATACTTGAGCTGGCTTAGGTTTTGGAGAGAAACATACAAATGGTGGTCAAACATAATTCTAAATTTGTGCTAGATTTCCAAATGGTTTAAAAAAAGGTTTTACTCCTCAAAAGTTTGTAATTCAATATTGAGAGTCACATCATTCATTCATTCTTAGTTCTCTGTTTTGGATGAGCATGAGTACACATGAAGAAATAGCTGCTCAGAGGCTCTTCCTTACTTCCTCCTTCTCTTGTCTTCCCTTTCTTTTACTATTTCATTCTGACCATTTTCATTGACCTCCACCTGATCATTCTTCTGCTTCATGAGCTGCCTCAGTGCCTAAAAACATGCTAAACCACTCATCCTACTACTCCAGTGCCTGAAAAGCAAATCAGAATGGGATAGTCTATAGAAAGTGGGAAGGATAACACTTGCATCTAACAGGCAAGAACTTTGGTATCCTCTCCTGGTACAAAACAGTGGTGGTGGATCTTTAAATGTGGAATGGTCTATGTTAGGTCTGCAGCCTTACTCCTCTTTCTAAACCTCTAGTATTTCAGTGTTCCTTAGCAACAGAAGCAAAGGATCAATTTAGAAAAGTGCTTTCCAGAGCACTCCTATCTAGCTACTGACCAAGCCATTTTAGTTTATGTGATCAAGTAATCGAAATTCAAAGAGATTTATCACTGACTGTCCTCACAGCAAAACTGGAAGAGCACTTTGTATGTATGCTACTAATGTCTGAGATGACTGATTCTACCTCTACTGCACAAGCATGGATTGGTTTCAGTAAGAATTAGCAGTCTCCACATCTCACTGTGAACCGACAGTGTTGCTAGGGAAACTGATAATTATGTGGCAAAATGGAGGGTGTAGAACAGAAAAAGAGTTCAGAAAAAATGTAAAGTTTTGATCCAAATCAGCATGTTAATAGTATAGTGTGTTGATCTTCTGTAGTCATACAATTTAATAAATACCATTAACTACATGTTTGACAAGATACAGATTTCTAAACTGAAAGAAATGAAAAGAAATGAAAAGCTACTGGATACTGCTCATGCTTTGTGTATGCCACAGCAGGAATTTGTATTTATTATATATAAACTGTAATTTTTTAAAAATTAAAATATTCAAAAAAGTAAAAAATTTGGTTTGAGTCCTAATGTTTTTCTTTAGATATCAATCTTATAGTGTTCCAGATATAAAAAGTATAATTCCATAAGAGCTTGAGTAAATAACATTTTTGGCTTCAAAGACTAAATCATATAGTCTCAAAACAGCCCATAAAGTGGGGAAGAAAGACGTATGACTTTTAAAATAATATACACAGTAATATCAACCCAGAGAAGCTGAATACTCTTCCTGAAGTCACACAGCTCCTCACTTAGTGGTAGTGCTAATGCTAAATCCTCCTCTTTCAGCTGCCTAAGAGGTACTGTTTATAAATTACATCCTATTTAGGGAAAACCCATTAGAAGGATATAAACCTAGTGAATGGATACAAATCTCTAGATATCACTTTAATTTTAAATGAAGACTTCCAATACTTTCCATTTTTAATGGGTAAGAGTTTAGTTCTAAAAGTTCATGATAGGATATAAAAACTTGCTTATCAGGAAAACCTCACTGGAGACATTTTAATATGTAAGAAGATCATGAAAAAAAACTAAAAAGCCCACTGTAAGAGGGATTTACTGCACAATGTTTTCTAATTTGCAAATATACCATAGATATTAAAACAGTCATTCATGTTCATACACATACAATCTAAGTATGGTGTGTGTGTGAGAACATAAGTAGTTTATTTATGGTTGGTATATGAATGAAGACAGTCATTTATAATATAAAATGTTTCCAGTTTTAGTCTTATTTGGTCTTTGACAGGAAAGACCTAAAAAGGATACATAGTATACCATGTAAAAGCACAAAACTGTAAGGATTTATTTAACTAAATGAATTTCAAGTGCTGAAAGCAGCAGTCTGCCTTCTGATATTATGAAAAAGTTCTTTATTCTAGTGACTTAAAAATTCTAAACCTTGGCTGGGTGCAGTGGCTCATTACTGTAATCCTAACACTTTGGGAAGCCAAGGCAGGCGGATCACCTGCAGTCAGGAGTTTGAGACCAGCCTGGTCAACAAGGCAAAAGCTCATTTCTACTAAAAATACAAAAATCAGCCTGGTGTGTTTGCACATGCCTGTAGTCACAGCTACTCAGAGGCTGAGGCATGAAAATCTCTTGAACCTGGGAGGTGAAGGTTGCAGTGAGCTGAGATTGCACCACTGCACTCCAGTCTGGGAGACAGAGTGAGACTCTGTCTCAAAAATAAATAAATAAATAAAATCTAATTCATTAATACCTAAGTAGTATAGTTCATTCTAAATAGAATGAAACTATAATTTGTAAGGCAGTTTATTAAATCTGTCAATTTAATGATAATTAAAAATAGTATGTGGCTTGTCTTTAGTTTGGATTTGTTAATTCTACATATTAAAGCATTTATTTTTGATAAGAGCTGAAATGATTGACTCTTATTTTGATAAGCCTTTTCTTCATTCCCATAAGTTGGAAGGTATTTGCAACTTTTAAATTCCAAAAGTTGGAAGGTATTTCCAACTTTTAAATCTCTGGGTCAGAAAAAGAAAAATAAAAACTTACACTGTCATCAAAAATGATATTTGTGGTTGAGTTAAACGAACCTTGACTTAGGCCATCTTGACAGGATGTTTGCTTGATATCCAAGTTCTCCATGGTATCCCCTTTAGAGACTTCACCAAGAGATGTTCTTCTCTCAAAGATGTTGTTATTATTGTTAACTTGAGTCCCATTTTGCTTCAGTAGCCTGAATACCTCAGCTTCCAAATCTCTAATCTAGGAAAAACAAATCCGTCCATAAAACTTTAAACCAGCACTCCTCTCCAAGTACAGCAAAACCCTTATTAATTAGTGTCTTAGAGAACACAACTCACCCGTACTTGCAGGCCTTGCACTTCCACAAGGTGTGCTTTTTCCAAATCTTCTATTTTCTTTCTTTCTGCTTCTTGTCTTTTGATGAAATCAAGCTCTCTTAAGAAGAAAATAATAGTTCTGATTATAACAAGCACTCAACAAATTAAAGTTTTTATTTGAAACAGTAACTGCATAGTAGGATAAGCCACTGAACAATTATTTAAATGGACAAAATTCAGTCAGTTAGAGGGAAAAGTATAGTAATGAAAGAAACTAAAACATCTCTAATGGGTCACAAGGCAAAGAAAAATCATTTGATTCTGCTTATTATAATTTTCTTTTGTAGCTCTTGATTCTAGAGCACCCAAACATATTTAGATAGGAACGACTACACTAATGACCCAAGTTGGGTAATTTGGTAGAGATAATTACTTGTCAGGTAGAAATAATTCCATATTTCCAATGTCATAAGCATATAAACAGTTGTAACTAGATGGTGAAAATTCAAACAAAATAATTATAAGATTTCTATGAGTAACTGTGAAGAGGGGGCTGAATGGGTCAGAAACATCAAGAGGGGCACTCACTTTTAAACCTAAGGATAATATGAGGAGAAGAGAAATAACTCTATTTTGAAAATGTATAGCAAATTTAGCAAAATTTACTATAAAATTATTTCATGAAAAGAGTTTGGCAAAACATCACAACAGTGATGTACTGAATTTATAGTCACAGAGAATGCTCCCCTTTTAACAAGAAACTTTTGATAGCAATCCTTTTAAATATTAAAAACACTCTTTCCATAATAGGAAATAACAGAAATATGAATCTTACATATATGCTTAGTTTCTGAGGCTTGGCTTTGTAGACTAGAAAAGTTACTGGCACTACTTATTTGTTCTAATGAGCCAGAAGTAGCTGATGAAAAAATCTAGTAAAAATCTCCCTGGTCAGTCTCTATGACATTACACTGAGATTCAAGAGATGGAAACAAAGGAGCAGTAACTTAGAAACAGCTGTTGAAAACCAAAAGCAGAATGTGGTAATCGTCTCTCTTACTGCAGTGAACTGAGGCCCTCATGATTCTCTCAACAGCTGAGAAATGCAGAGTGGCAGGGCAGGGGGCCCTGCTAGTTGATATTTACACTATCTGTAGTGGGAAATTCTGTAGTTACTGATCTAAGAATAGAGAGGAGCAGCCTGATTCAGGCACCAACTGCACCTTGCAAGCTCCACATCCAATAGTCAGTCATTCCACATAACTTTCAGCTGGGCTTCTTGCTACTAAATCACAGAGGTGTTTCAAAAACAATAAAGAAATTCAGATGTTTTAACAGTTACTATTAATGATTATTTATCAAAAATAGCCAAGAGGCCCTGGGAGCCAAAAACTGTAAAACATACAAAACATAATCTCATGAAAAAGTGACACACATAATTCCAAAGCTTAATGTGTATTTATGCTGTAACTATGCTCCTGGATAGGAAGAATATCTCTGAGGTCATCTTTTCTATTCCACTAGATAATGACAAAATTATGGGACATAAACCTTCTTTAGACAAACATAACTATTCTTTAATCGTTAGAAGCTGCTTACTTTTGTTGAAAATCCTTAATCAATTTCTTTGCCTTATTGTATTTCTTTTCCAAGGCCTGATACTGGCTTTGAGTCTCTTTGAGATGTTCATTCACTGTGTGGCATAACGTTTGGGCCTCAATCCAGTAGCTTTCCAACTTCAACATTCTTTCCTTATTGTCTTCAATGTTCTGTTGGAGTTGGGTTTTTTCTAGTTCCCACCTCACTTTCTCATTTTCTGCCGCCTGCAGCTGGAGAAAACAAATGTCATGGCAAAGATAATTTGGCCACTTCCGTAGCAAAAATCTCTCATTTTTATAGCATGTTGTAGGTCAAGTTCCATTATCATAAACAATCACTGAAACCACTTCAGTTGAGAAAAGCAAGTATTATTTTTATAATTCCATAGATGATAAAATGGAAGCCTTGAAAAGTGAAATGATTTGTCCAAGGTCACACATTTGATAAATGATAAAACATGGATTAGATTCCACCTCACATGATATTTCCATCACACCATGTGGTCTGAAATTTTGTAAGCAGTAAAAGATGTATCAGAGTTTGATATATCCAATGAATGTCAACATGTTTTGAGTTTTTAAAAATATATAATTATATATAAAAAATTTAACTAAAAATGGAGTGAAGAGGGGCAGGGAGGAGAGAGGAGTTAGAAGCATATTGTGGCCTAATGGCTAGGTCTCTGGAGTCATTTAGCATAGATTGAATCCCAGTTCTGCCATTAGTGGCCATTAAACCTTGGACAAGTAATTGAAGTCCTCCAAGACTCAATTATATCATCTATACAACAGAATTGTAATATAACACATGAGTATACTTGAAATAGCTCCTTAGATATAAGAATCATCTGATAAACATAAATCACTTTCACTCTGCTTTTAATCCTTTTGATGATCTTATTTCATTCTTTATTTCAATGGACATGAACATAGTCTGTAGCTCATTGCTGTACATGTAGTGTAATATAATTTCTCAAGCTTTATAAACCTCAACTCCCATAAAAGTCTAAAAGATAGTGTAAGTAAAAGTATAAATTGTGGCTTGGTTAATTTAATTCCTTCCCATGGAACAGAAAGCTATAATCAGCTTTTTGTGGTTTCTGCTTCCAGGGACTCTTTGGAATAGATAGTAAACTAGTCTAACACCCTAATTTCTACAGAAATCCAAGACTGGTCATTTAGGTGAGGGCTCAAAAGTCATTCCCAATAACTGTCTGGCCTTCAAAATAGTACCTTATCTACTTTATATGCCTTCTTTAATGTTCAAAAGGATGCAAAGTCATTATAAACTATCAATGTTCAAAATCATACAGCATTTAGCAAAAGGAAACATGTACTTTTATACACACACATCTATGTTTTTCCAAATATTTTTAACTAAACACATTTGTAAAACAGTTTATAAAGTTAGAAAGTAGCCAAAACAATTTCAAAATTAGGAATTCTATTATCAAAATGAATAATAATCATAATAAAGTGTGCTAATCTGTGGATATTACATGACAATGTAATGATGAAAAAATATAAAATGCTAACTTATAGTATTTTCTAAGTTAAATGTCTATAGTCTAATACATAAGCTCCAATAAAACATTTACAATTTAAATGTTTTACCAACAATTTAAAAAAATCTTCAATTATTTCTATGTCAAGAGACAATAACAATTTAAAACAGGACTAGGTTACTTACTGCATCTTTTATTAAACAATGTTTTGTATCAAGTTGTTTATTTAGCAACCACCACTAATTTAAAATTATTATTCACGGAGCTGGGCTGACACCATGAATGATACATAGTCGTATTTTGACTAAAGAGTTGCAGAGTGAATTAGCTGAGAATAGCATTTAACCAAAATAGCCTTGCTAATTCATCTCCATTTAAAACACATGGAGAAACCAAAACAAGTGTTAGATGTGAACAATAAAACAGATCATTAGTGGTGGGGGAGTAATTATGTCTTAATTTTTAAAAGACCATAGAAACATAAAGAATAATGCTTTATAAGTAATTTAAAAATATTTTCAAATCTTTGAAATTGGATATTTGATAAAACTAAGTAAAATTGCTAGAATTGTGTCTCATATAAGTGCATTAAAATTTGTCAATTAAAACATACAGACTAATAATACATATTCCCTTTTATCAAGACCTTTTCTCCCCCACAAACTTAATTTATGTGAACCAAACAACTAAAAATTTCCAGTAGTACCTGGCACTTAAAATAATTATGCATGTATTAAGTTTATAAGTTTATAATATTTAATTATTAGATATTAGGAATTGTTTATTAAAAAAATTGATGTGTTATACTAAATTTGTTCCTAAAAACAAATGATTAAATCTATTTATAATAAGGTAAGTAAAGTGGACATATAGTAGCTTTGCTTAAGGAATTAGTAATCAAAACATGCTTCGCATGCTTGAACCATTAAAAATAATACTTTTTAAGGAAATCTCAGAGGCCACATACGTGCAAATACATAAATATGTATATTTAAAATATCGTGTTATTTGCACTGAGAGGGACATGGGTGTTTGTTCTCCCTGACAGGTTTGTCTATGTACCTAACAGTGAAAATGAATCTCTCACATTTGTATTCTTTCAAATGTACAGGGACAAATCCTTTAGTCCTAGGGTTGAATTTATTCACAGTATCTGAAGTTCAAAAAGTAAAATTCAAACACCATGTTTTGGTGCTTACCTTGGTCTTCAATTTTTGAATCTCTGCTTCTGTAACTGCATGTTTGATTTGCAACTGAAAATTGAAAAGAAAGAAAAAATCTGAACTAAGAAAGTGTATCTATATTTTTAAAGCCTCAGCAGCTACAAGAATGCCTTATTACATAGTAAAAGGCCTAGAAAAGTGCTGCAGTGCAGCAAGTTGTAAATTAAAGTGTCTACTGTGTGAAATGACACTGGGTGCAAACTAAACACCCAGTTTATGGTCTATACTCCCTAACATCAGATTAGGTTACCAATTTAATGGCTCAGAGACCAAGAGAAGAAAACACTTTTTATTGCCCTCTTTGCAGCTCTTCCTTTATGATTTTAATGTCAAGGAACTGTTTCCTTGCTAAGTCTAGCTCACTGAATGGCATAAGCAGGAAAGTGAGCTGGTACTGTGATTTAATTCCAAACCTGGCAGTGTGAAGATTTATTCCAAATCTGGAAGAAAGGTGGCGCTATGGTCCTGTGAGTTGCAAACATTCTGATCAGCATCTCGGCTGCAATAGGAGAGGAGGACTGCAGTTGCCTGAGGAAATCTCTGATTTTTTTTTTTTTTTAATTGCAGGAAAGGTACAGATCCAGATATCTGTCCTCCAAAAGATCTGCTTGTTTTGAAGACTCAGATCCCAACAGAACAGCTTCTTCTACAGCTTATTAGTGTAAGAGTCACAGTTTACATTTGTTTTGCTTGTCCCTTCCCCCCACTTCGTTTTCTTTTTAAGGGAAGAAGAATGAACTGAACGAATCATTCGTTTCCTTATGGGATCAATAAATACTACCAGATTTAAGAAAAACAACTTATAGGTTCACGATTTCTTGTCTGAAATCCTTGGGGCCAGATGCTTTTGGAAGTCAGCATTCTTCCAATTTTAAAAGGTAGTTAATATGTATCTTCTACAAATTGCTTATTATCCACAGCAGAGTCTTTAGAGGCACTCTATAGTCAAAACACATCAATTATTTTTGCCACGAAACATGAATATTCCCACTAAGTGAGGCACATAAAGACTGTAAATAGCATCCTGTCAGGTCAGGTTGTACCACTAAATTAGTTTGACACAAAATTACAAAAAAGACTGGAGCATTTTGGATTTAAGATTGTGCATGAGGGACCATAAACTTTTACTATTACTGTAATCAAGTAAGGCTAAGAGGCTTTCTTATCAGAAGTGAGTCTGACAGAAGGACAGAAATGCGTTTTTAGATTAGCAACGTGAACCTGTGGAGACCATGCATGGCATAAATCTTAGCCCTCTCTTGGGTTTGCAACTTGTATTCCCTCGGTTTTTACCAAGTTCGCGGGGACACGTGGGAAGGATGATAAGGGGAAGATGGAAGAATCAAAGACAGGCCTATTCGACCCTCTTGGATGCCAGTGGCTAACTGCCCAGAACCTGAGGGTTCCTAAGTTCCTTATAAAGTGCTCCCTCCTATTATGCAAAGGGCCATGAGGTCTGGAGGCCACAGCTCTTGTTACTGCTCTTGGTACTGAGGGGATGACATTGAAACTTTTCAGTTTGATTCTGCCCCATTCACACTGCTTACATTCTTCCTGACCTGGCCACTCTAGCCATCTTGCTGGTGTGGCTATTGCTCCTTGCACCCTCACTGGCTCCTAGGGGGTTCTGTGCTTGAACAGTCTAGAGTAGGACCCTATGTGGAAAGGTTATTTTTATGAGGCCCCAAATCTGGCTCTTTTAGTTTCTTACCACAGCACAACTGGTACAATTCTTACTTACCTGCCTTTGGCAGATGCTCAGAGCATTAATGCAGCCGGCAAGGAATCTAACCACAAGTTTTCTCAATGACTAGATTGGAGAAAGATACACAGTGTTGCTCCAAAATCCCTGCAATTCCCTACCCCCTCACGGTTGAGGTCTATGCTCATCCTAAGCCCTAGTCTGGATGGATCTTTCAGAAGCCTGACAACACCAGGCTAGCCAGTCAGATAGGTTTGAATGCCCCGCGGATACTCCAACTGTAGGCTCTTCTGGACTCATTTTAGACGTGGGAAGACCAAGGATCAGAGAAGACAACCAACCTGGTCTAGTCCTCACAGTGAATCACTATTAAAACCAGGACTAAAACCTGGATCTTCTCATTCTGATCCACTGCCATTTTCTTTAGAAACTGGGGATCAATTCAACTGGCATTCATTGAAGAGTTGCTATGTGGAGGATGCTGTGAAAATAACTTTTTCGTCCGGGCAAGGTGGCTCACCCTATAATCCCAGCACTTCGGGAGGCCAAGGCGGGAGGATCATGAGGTTAAAAGATGAAGACCACCCTGGCCAACATAGTGAAACCCTGTCTCTATCAAAAATACGAAAATTAGCAAGGTGTGGTGGCGCACGTCTATAATCCCAGCTACTCGGGAGGGAGGCTGAGCCAGGAGAATCGCTTGAACCCAGGAGGTGGAAGTTGCAGTGAGCTGAGACTATACCACTGCACTCCAACTTAGGTGACAGAGCGAGACTCTGTCTCAAAAACAACAACAACAACAACAACAACAAAAAAGAACTTTTTCTTCCTCTAATAAATATGAGGTCTAATCTCCCCCACCAGTATAAACTAATAATGTAAAAAAGGGCAAAAGTACTTAGACATTAGACACTTTATATATAAATCTACAAAAATAAATAGTGTATATGCACACACACACATATGGCTATGTGCTAAGGCATCTAGCAAATCCATATGCCTGGGTAATTTTGGAGGATTTGCAATAGTTATCAACAAGATCTACTTCTTATTCTGGCAACCATGTACCAAGCATGAAGAGTAGTTAGACTGCTTGAATTCATCTCTGGCCTACCATGTACTCTGTGGAGCATTACAAAATTATTTAACCTCTCATACTTTCACTTTCCTCCCCTGTAAAATGCAGTGCTTTATAAGTCATAACCTTCCTCACTGGATGATTAAGTGATATAACCCACAGAAAGCATTTAGCACAGTGGCTAGCCTAAAATAAGTCCTCAATAAACTCAGCTAGGACCAAGAAAGAATGCTCTGAATAACTCAAATATGATTACCCCAGCTTCAACTCTCAGTTAAATGTGCTAACTGCTCTAAAATGTCACACCTGAAGTAAAATGAACATCTCTGCTTCTATTTAAAGGGAAGCAAGAAATCAAAAGGGCAGATTTCACAGTGAACACTGCACTATGGGCAAGTGCCAGATTTTTATTAACTCATGGTAGGGTAACCAAATACATGGCATGCAACTTGTTGGGACTTTGGACTTCCTTTTCTCAGATCACTGTGTCTTCTAGAAGTTGCTTCCCATATGAAAAATGCTGGACAGGAGGAACTCCAAGGGCCCTTTCACATACAATGGGTGTGACATTTATGGAACAAAGTACCTGAAGGTAGTTGTCAAGGTTGGAGAGTTTAGAAATTCTTGTTCCAAGCCAACATTTTCATTCTTGTGAATGAATACCCTAGAGGAATCCACAAATTGTCGGACAAACCTAGGTAAAACTGTGAAGCCCATGTTGATCTATTCCACCCCTCCCACCTCACCAACAATGGATAACAGGAGGGAACTGAACTCATCAGCAGTGAGGTGAGAACAACTGCTAAAAGTCTGGAGTGTTACTAAGTATAGCTAAATTCTTTACATATAGGAAAGCAGAATGAATTGTGTAAATTCACACATTATTCAGAATGGACAAAATTTTCTTAGTACTCATAAGGCCTAAAAGTAAAGATATGTGATTATTTTAATTCTGCATGCACATTAAGAGAATTTATATAAATCTATCACTATTGATAAGAAAAGCATCAAAAATACATTAACTTAATCCCTTCATTTTATATAGTATGGACCTGTGTCTAGTGAGCTTATGTTGCAAGGCTAATAGGTGCCAAAGCCAGGTTTTAGAAATCTCAGCCCATGGTTCTTTCCATTAATACTAAATTTCTTACATTTGTAAGCCCCTTTATCTTTAATCATCCCCCTTTATCATTGCAAATGACTTGGGGAGGCAGGACAGGTGTTGTGAACCTCATGGTTCAGATGAGGAAATAGATTAAGAGAATATCTTCTTCAAGTTTCCACTAGAAGCAGGTGGTGGAGTGGAAACAAAATCAGGTTTCATTCTTCCTGCTTCTGTTTCTCTCTTCATCATGTACCTAACTAAACCATTTGCTTTGGAATTTTTTTCATTTAGTCTTCCCTCAAACCCCAAGGAGTATGTCACCACCATCCCCTCTAGATGAGAAGTTACTCCAATTGGAAACCATGGATCACTTCTGGTAGTCTCTGAGCATTCTGACACTGAATGCAAAATGGTGCTCCATCAGCTGCTGTTATTATTAAGGAAGCTTAGAAAGCACACCTCCACCTCCCTTAATAATCAATCAGCATTTAGTGAATGAGACTACGTGCTAGGTACTATGCTAATTACTGAGGATACATGAACATGACATAGAATCTCTACTTTCAAGATACTTCAGGGAGACTAATAAATACCACCTTATAAGAATTCTCCAGATCACTCTGTGAGAAAGGTCAGAGGCAACCTGCTCCCCAATGGCTTGTTTAGTCTTTTGTTCCTATAGCCAGATCAGATGTCTTGTGACTTTGGCCTGTTCGTCCAGCCATGGACCCTACCTTCCAAGCAAAGTGAGCAAGATGGACCCAAGATATCTCCATTTCATGTTGAAAAGAAAATTGCTTTTCACAGGGGTGAAGGACCTTGACAAAAGAAGCATAGTTGGTAAAAGGTTGAGTTTTCTTATTTGGTAAAAGGTTGAGTTTTCTTATTCTAGAGCAGTTCCCTTTCCATATGTTTAAGAGATTTGTGTCAAGAATCAATAACCTTTTCAAATTACAGGTCCAAGAGTTTGCAAGAATGGTCAGGCAGGCTGACTGCAGGGATAGAAGGTCAACAGGGCTGGGTAATAGAAAATAGAGCCTGAAATGCCTGTTGGGAGTTTTTGGGCTTCAGAGAATCTAGGTTTGGAGGAAAGACTTGGTATGGGTAGGCATAAATAAAAAGAAAAGGTTAAGGACTGCAGGTCA